AATAACATTTTTAATAGAAAACTGCGCCAACCCTGGCTCTGTTTCGCATATATATAATGCAATACGTTAGTTGCACATGTGCAACGGCGCAGCAGTTGGTACGTTGCAATTTGTAACCAGCTCGTGCTCCACTTTCGCGAACGTTAATCCTCCTTCGATTTTATATCTTATTACATTGCTGTTAGTTTTATGATGAAATTGACGAGAAAACCTGAAATGACTCACTGACCACGTAAACATTAGCTCTTCTACCTGCCACGACGATTAGGGATACCATTAGTCGTTTACATTACCGAGCTTATCGCTTCAACACACGTCTTATGTAATCGATTATTGTATGAATCGTTAATTGTATGAAAATAAAACATCTTTGCGAATAATTTCCGATATTCCTATCTACTCAGATGTTTTTTTGGAAATCTTTTAAGACTAATCTACAACTCTTGAATTCCTATTTCTTGGTTTTTTCTCTTGCCTCTTATCTCGTTTCTTCGTTTTTTCTGTCGCCCAAGATAAAGTGAACGAACTTCGGAAGAGACAAGATACATGTGACTAGAAATAAGATACATTTTATACAAAAGCTGTGGGTATGGTGACCATACATCCTCTTCATTGTAAAGAATAATCCTTTATTTTAGATAGCTGTCCTTTAGACATTTGTTTTTTTAAATTCAATTTTGTCCTTTATTTTCCAATATTTTCCTTTACTGTCCTTTATTTTGACATTACGAGAAATTCTTTTCTATAACTAGCTTTTCTACGTCTATAATATTATATTAGGTGTTACACTTAATTCCTGCCGTTTTTCGTCTCCAAAATTGATTTGTTTCGAAGGGAAATATCTTAATCAAAGTATTATTAATAAAGTATTATTAATTAATAATAAAGTAGAAAATGGAGGAAATTACTTTGATTAAGGTATTCATTCATCTTCCCTTCGAAACAAATCAATTTTGGAAACGAAAAACGACAGGAATTAAGTTTAACACCTAATATTAATGAGCAAATTTTTACGGAAAATATTTTACAGTTTCATGCATATAAATACAATTTGTTTTTGTTAATTATATTTCTTAATTTTTTAAATCAAATTTATTCAAACTAGAGTTGTTTTCATTTTTTATTATTTCAGATCAAGGATTTGTTCCAATACAGTCAAATCAGTTTCAAACTATAAAAAAAATGCGCATTATCTCAATTTGATTATACTGTGCAATACAATTTTATAATGCACAGATTCTTAATAATCACAAACTGGTTTGAAAATATGTAAGAATAAAGCCCTAAATTTTTCAGATTTGTCCTTTATTTTCTTTAAAAAAATATAGTCACCGTAGATATAGGTTTCGCGGATCGTCTTCGTGACGTGTCCATTGTAGTTTATTTTATCAAAGCTGGAGTAGAGTTGATCATGTTCCTCGCCCTGATGAAATAAACTGCAACGTTCTTAAAAGGTTGGCATTCTACTAATGGATTTGGAGATAACTCGCGAAACGCTTAGCTTCTGTATAAAAAATTCCCATGGAATTCTCCAAAGTATTATCAAGATGATTATCGACAAAACACTTACAAAGATGGAGAGGTAAAAGACAGGAAGCAAGAAATAGGAAGCAAAGAGTATATTGCAGATTAGCTTTTAACAACAAGAATGTCTCAAGTGTCATTCTATAGAGCTAAATGCATCTCGCTATCGATCGATCGAAAGCATGGACCATGTCGTTTAACGCGTCATTGAACGTGATGAAAATTGCCGACTGCATTATCGCAAATTACTAGTCACTCGTGTCGCTGATGTAAATGCAGATCCACAGATAATCGAACGAAGATTTTTCTCGGCATTTACTTTCTTAACAATGGCGCAGCCGAAGGTCCGAGAAGCGGACGCCGAACAATCGCAAAACTAAAGCCGGTTTTAACGTTAACTGGCCGGAAATTTTCACCTTCATGTTTAACAGGCACGGTCACTTTCCAACATTATGCTGCCGGCCGGCTGCGGAAAATTTGTTGCCGTGATGTACGCGAGCATGCAGTGCGCTGATTACATAAGACAAATAACGCGGAACTCGTGTCGGAAAGATCGAAAATGCACGCTGCGCCTCGCCCCGTATATTCGAGGAATGAAGAATAAATATGCAATAAAAAAGATAAATGACGAAATTAAGCCAATTTCGGAAGTTAGCAAATAGAAAAGACTCCCGTATTAATTATCAATATTAAGATAGAAATATTTTGTAAATAGAAATAAATTTTGTAAAAAGAAAAATAATTTACTTTAGAACTGAATGCAGATGTAAAAAGGTACTATATTCTTTTAATTAAATATAAACACACAAACGACAAAAATATTAATAAAAAATATTAAAGTAAAAATTTTATTTATACATAATTTTTATTAATAATAAGATGCATAAGTTGCTAGATAAATAAACAATATACCATATATTAATAAATGATCTGACTTAAAACTTAAATCAATTAATTAAATTAATTACTTAGAAGTTGCAAAGTTTGGAACATTTTCGTCAACGTGTTTATTATAACACACTCTTTCTATTTCTCTTAATGTGCTACCACTCGTTGGAATAAACACAATTTCTCTCACAATTTTATATAATTGCCTTTATTTTACGGCTGTTTGCATGTGATTACCTTAAATGTTTCGTTTCCTCTTTCTTTTATGCCTTTCCGAGAGACACGACGAAACTCATGAGCCATCGAGACGGCCAAGCGAGACGGTTAGGGTTACTCGCGTCCACTTCAAACATCAAGCTGTTCATTCCGTTGAATATTATTATCGCTTATGCTCTCTTGCAATGGCTATTTTCTCCTCTGCAAATCACGAAGGAAAAAAAGAAAAAACAGCAGCGAACGAAAGTCACTAAGGATTTTGTTCCAAATCGGGTCATTAGATACACAAGTCTGATTTTCAAGCGTGCTCTTTTTTCTTCTTTGAGATGATTTATAGGCGCAATCGAAAATCCACCCCCATGAACACAAAATCGTAATAAGATCAAGATAATAACAAGTTGAAGTCATAAAAACATCATAATAATATCATTTAACACTTTTAACAATAATTTTATGATGAACTTTTGACATGATATTTAACAATAATTTTTAAATTATATTTTTCAGGTTAAAATCATCAAAATATATCAAATCATTATAATTTTTCTTAAAATGACTTTAATTTGATGTCATCTTAATCTTGTTATAATTTTTGATGTTTTACCTGGGCCACTGGACAATAAACTCCTTCTTAACGATTTTCGACGAGAGTACGCGACATGCTCCGCTGAATTCTCGCATGAAAAGAATAGTTTTGCTAAAGTATCCAAAAATTGAATTAAACGTAGATATGAAAATAATTTTGTTTGAATCATCAAAATAATTATTATATAAGACGTTCAAGCTGATTGTTAGAATATTAACATTTTTTTTGCAGCATTGCTCATCATGCTTGTTTCTTACATAATTATTTTGATGATTCAACAAAATTATTTTCAGATTTGTATCTAGCTAAATTTTTAGATACATTATCGAAATCGTTCTTTCAGTGCAGCGGAAGTTTGTTCAAACAAGAAACATTGGATCTGCAACGTTTTATCTCTATCGCTTTACGAGCATTTTTATTCTTTCCATCGTCACGCTTCTCATAGATTTCGACAGAATTAGCGTAGATTACGACAACTCGGTTGCTCGTAACTAACGTTATTTACCTAATTGGACTTTCCTGCTTGTCCTTTGTGGCTATATTTCGCACTCGCTCTATGCCGGTGTTATTTAATTCAAGACTTGGTGTAATCGCATCTTAATAATAATAAGCATCCGGGGACGGGGTTCATGGCACAGCACCCGGTGTTTCATACACGGACAACACTAGTCCTGTGACGACCACGGAGAGCCACGAAAGCGTGGAAACAAGCCACTTAAGCAACAACCAACGGCTCCAAAGACAATACCCGGCACTACGCTCTGCCTGCGTCTGCCTACCCATATTGCCCTATCTTTCCGTATTCTGCCTGTCGCCTTATTTTTGACCTCCGGAAGGCCTGCGCCTACTCGTGCCCTTTAAATCGGATCTAGATAATTACCCGTTACAGAAAGCACAGCTACACCGAGATATGGTGAGACAAGCAACAAGCGAAGGCACGAGCCTTTAATCTAGAGTACCTTCCACTTAACACTCGTAATGTTCGCGAACATTATTTGTCCTTGTTTAACATTTGATAAACAGTATATCGAAAAAAGAGTCTGATTACATTAATTGGAATTCTGCTTG